TTGGGACAACCATGATTTGGATGACTGAGAATCTCTACAGACTTTTAGCTACACAGTTTGTGATGAACACCCTTTCAACAATGTGGGAGTAGGAATGAATTTCCAGAGGGAGACAAAAATGCAGACTACAGGAACCAGGAGCACTACTCAGGTGACTCTGAGGACACAGGTAAACCTCCAAGTGCTTCAACAACCCTCTAAAAGAATGACCAGCTGTCTCCAAGGAATATAAATCCTTCCATTCTCCACTATCCTGTCAGAGCTGAAGAAGCTTCTTGGATGAGAAGCGAAAAGAAAAAATAAAGTCCAGTTGCCTCCTGAAAAAAACACCTTTGGGACAATCATGACCTAGATGACTGAGAATCTCTACAGACTTACAGAAGTGGCAGGGTCACTGAGGCAGTCATGGATCAACTATATGAGATTCCAGATGGCAAATAAGCCTTTCAATACAGGTTTTATGAGACTTCTCAAGCTGAAGACTGTAGGAATAGATAATACTGGGTTATGTAGCACTTCCATGTCATAGAAGTATAGAATCTAGATGAAAGATTGATTCCTTCTTTTCATGTAGCACCAGGCACTGTAACTTAGCAATTCTTTACCTGAAAATCTCAAAAGAATCTCTAGCACTGCTTATTCAGTTGCGCCTCTGATTCACTGCAGGAGGAAAAACAAATTTACTAGCTGGGCAAAGACATGAGGAATAAGGAGGTCAACACTTACTCATTCCAGTATGGATCCTTGCTTAGTGTAGTTGGGTTGCCTATAATGATCAAGAGTGCCTTAGCTCTTGTAAGGGACACATTCAGGCGCTGAAAATGGAGTGGTGATACAAAAAGAGAAAAAGTTAACATCTTAGATCACTGGTAAAGAATTCCACATACCATAAAACGTTCAAGTATGAGATACAGATTTCATAATTGTCACTTAAAGATGATAAAAAGTTTCCTTAACTTCCATCTCCTAACTGAATCTTCTGGATATTCTAAGAAATAGCCTTTATCTAACACAAAACTACTACAACGGGTTTCATTCCCAAATTGGTGATGTTTGCTTTTCTTTAGTTAAGAAGCTGAACTAAGAATGGAGGAAACAGGGTTTTAGTCCCACTTTTGGCACAAACAGGGTGACTTTACGCCAGTTTAACAACTGTTCAGCGACCAAATAGTGAAGTTACAGTAGTGTTGAACAAAGGGACTTATGACCTAGTCACCATGCCTGGAATGTCTTGGCCTGTTACAGAGCTGAGCATAAATTGCTGCATTTTGTGTTTTCCTGCAGCTGCTGACCAGCACACCTAGCCAATGTGAGATATGTTTTTCCTACAGAGGCCATCTCATGCCATTCTGCAAGCAAGGGCCATTTATGGCATTCAGCATGCATAATTTGGGGGAGGAAAGCCTTCTTAACGATCATGACAATGGTGCCCACTTGTAGAGTGGTGCAAGGCATCCTCTGTAGGAAGGGTGCCTGTTAGTAGCTGCAGAAAAACACAAAGGTGCAAGTGAAACAATTTACATGCACTGCTGGGCCTGGTGACCAGTCAAGGCATCCCAGGTGTGGTGAGGTGTGGGGAAGGCCTGGGTCTCTCTGTCTGCAGCAGGTTTCCACACACTGGTGAACTCTGTAATCAACCACGTTCTCCCAAGCTTGTTGTGATAGGGAGCAGGCCATAGCATCCAGAGTTACAGCAGGAACCTACATGTCAGTAGGCCCTGTAGCCAGCCAAGGCCTTCCAGACCATGGCAGGTTTCTATGCACAAGTGGGCCCTACAGCTTGTGCTGGGCCACCCAAGGCCACCCTTGCCCCTTAATGATAACTGGGAGAGTCAAAATTATGGTTGAGTGAAGCAGTCAAGTGATATCTCACTTAATGACTCCTTCGCTCAATTAACAATGATTCTGGTCCCAGTTATGATTCTGGTCCCAGTTTATAATTTGAGGTCTATCTGCACTTCTAAAACAGTTGCTAAGAAAATGGCAGGAACTTACCCATATAGTTGCTGTGGATCAAGACAGAGAATAAAAAACAGTCTAGAACTTAATTAAGGATCACCACCTGGTGGTAACAGAAGAGCTAAGAAACTCCTACTTTGCAGAGCTTCAGGTTATATTAGCTTTTGTTCTAAAATGCTTTGATAAATCATACTTTGCTCATGCCATAAAGGTTTAAAGAAAGTTGTAAAAATGTCAACTGATGAAATTCCTGTGTAAAGCACGCACAGTCCTGCTCTAAAAGAGCTATTAGATTTATAGTAGTCTTAGCAGTCTTATATCACTGGTTTTGAGGCATCAGAAGAGAGTAGATGATATTAATAATCCTTTCCTGAAATTCTTCCTATATTTCTAGGACAAACCGGAGCTACAGAAATATGATATGGAGATATGTGAAAGTATATACTAACCCATGGTTTATTTATCCAAGGTTTCTTAAATAATCAGAAATGGCTTGATTCACACATTAAGTTATAAACAATAAATTTACTAGACAAATCTGGGCATGTACAAAAACACAAAATAAATTACATTTTGTTATAACTTCTCTAATGGCCCCTCAAAAGGAAAAGCCACTTGGGAGGATATATTTCTGGACTGTTCTGGTCCCATTAAAAAAGCCAATCAGTCCCGGATGTGCTAAAGATTATATAGCATGTGAGAGATCGATGTGATACCTTGGGATTATTGAGGAAACCAAGGTTGAACTCTTCATCCATTCCGAAGTAATTGCTGCTGCTGCGTACTGTTGAAATGAGCACCACGCGACGCTCCTGACCCTGGAATTCTTCCACAGAGCCCACCTGAGGTGGAAACATAAAAAGAATTCTAGCTAGGATGCAGGAGTTATGGAACTCCAGAGTGATAGATGGCGCTTTTTCCTTTCATTACAACTGGGTTTCCCAAACTGTGAAGCATATAAGTAGCCTTTGTTAAATGACATCTCACTCAATGGCACTGAATGAGCGGGACTTACAATGGGTTCTAGACGTTCTAGCCATCATGGCATCCCAACTTGCAGTCACATGATCACGATTGGGGCACGTGGCAGCTAGCTTGCAATTAGGATGTTACAGCATCCTGCAATTAGATGATCACTATTTGGGATCTTCACTGCCAGCTTCCAACAAGCAAGGTCATCTAGAAACTGGCAAGAGATTGCAAATAGCAATCACCGGACAATGGGATGCTGTAACCATGTGGGATTTGCTTAATGGCAGCAACTGGGATTGCCGCAACTGCCATTGTTAAGTTAGCACAGTCACATAGCTTCAGGGTAAAGAACAGTGTCACTTAATGACTGAATTCCCAGACCCAATTACCACAGTTAAGTGAGGACTACCCTCGAGGAGGTGCAGACAGGGAAGATGTGAAGAACCTTTTATAGTACATTGTTACAATAAATCCACCTTTCCCAAAGTTCCACTGTATTTTCGTTGTTCATGTGTGTTCATCCTGGTTTCTGAATGTTTAGCATGAGTATGTATCTTAAATTTACAGTAAAGGCTGATATGATTGTTGGATCTTAATAACTGAAGGATATTATTTTTTTGAAATAGAAAAATCCAACTGATGCTATGCATGCATGGTTATTGCAGTATATTAGGTCCTACCTGGTCATACCAATGTAGGACATAACAGTACATAATCAAGGCTCCCTTGGTCCAGATCTTACCTTTAGATCCTTGATATTCATCAGGTCCTTTAATTTCATATTTATGGCCTGTCTTATCTTCTCTACCTAAGCAGAAAGAGAAATTAGTGTATCATTAGTCCTTAGTTCAATTATTGGTCCTCGGCGGAGATAAAATCTTTGCAATGCTGATTCTTTATTTATTTAATGCCAATTGCAGATGTGAAACACTTGCCTTTTTTCCCTTTATCTTAAGTACATACATGTCTGTGCTTTCTTTTTCAGTGTTACAGTATATGCTGGGAACAAAGGAAGTATAAAACAATTATCCTACTTCCAAGTCCATAAACATCTAAGCATTTTTCCTGCAATGCTGCAATATTTAAAACTATAGTGCGTTTTAATATCAAAAGTATAAAAATATTGAATGCATATGGCACTATAATGCTATTCAAAGCACACATATGGAGAACATGAGGCATAATGTAGGATAGTTGCAAATTGTCAAAACAAATCCCATGTTTGGAATAACATCTGATGCATTTTTGATGTCATGGCTGTAAATTCTGGCTCATCTATGTTACAGATTACATCCTCCTGAAAATTACAGGCATGGAAGCCATTGAGGAAACTTCTGGTTACATCAGACAAAGGATATTTTGACCACGTGAAGAAACCGTGGGTTTACCACTACTGAAAGAAGAGAGTCTAGTTTGGTCAGCTGAGGAAGGTCCCACCTGCTTTCTGTATGGGGAGATGACCCCAATCTCTTTGGGAAGAGTTTTGATTCCTTTTTTGCCCTGATTTTCCAGAAGTAGTTTCTTGAGATAATCCATCAACACACTAATCTCAGCAGTATTAAAAAATGAAGGGCTCCTCCCTTCTTGCTGGTCTTCCCCACAGACCCCATGGAAGATGATAGGAAATTTCTGCAAGAAAAGGGAAAAAATAACCTTAAGTATTTCACAATACATGTATGTGATTATGCAAATGTGATCCTGCTCAATGTATAAAGCTCCTCACCGGCTTGGGCAGTTCATTCCAGTGGCAGTAGGAATGAGTAATTAGGTGATCACCACATTCCAGGAGCTTTTCATCATAAAATTTTTCATTGGAGAATCTGAGGATGTCTTCATGAGACCTGGAATTGAAGGCTGAAGTTTTAGCATCTAAGCAAACTTGAACAGGCTTACAAGAGAGAGAATGATGTTTTCTTTATCTCCTGCCAGAGATTAGAATCTGAAGGCCTGGGTTACCTGCTTTTGTGCTACTCCAGGCTCTCTAGACCACATGATCAAGTCTATCAGAGATAACCCCCATCTACAAAACTGGAAAAGCAGCCCTTTCTTCATAAGCATATCTATGGAGAAGATTGAGCAAAGAACAGGATAGAACTTTGTAGGTGGAATGCACAGTGCCTTTCCATATGTATTATAAATAGAATAACAGAATTGGAAGGGACCTTGGAGGTCTTCTAGTTCAACTCCCTGCTTAGGCAGAAAACCCTACACCATTTCAGACAGATGGTTATCCAATCTCTTCTTTAAAACTTCCAGTGTTGGAGCATTTACAACTTCTGCAGACAAGTTGTTCTACTGGTTCACTGTTCTAACTGTCAGGAAATAATCTCAGAAATGTTCTGCAATTATGTTCTTAAAAGCTGCACTCTTTCCAAGGCATTTATACGTCCGCCTAGATGAGATTTTAGACAACACACATAAATAAATCAATTGAAGTCGTACCTGTTCCATTTTCATAACATGCTGATCTTACTTACCTTTTTATAGCTGAACTCAGTCTAGTTAATTTGTGATTTGATATCACAGTAGTATGTGAACTGAATCCAGGTAATTCAGTAACTAAGTTAGGCATGCAGGGTAAATCAAGTTCTGTGATTTAGGGTGAACAGAGAATTTTATAAAAGCTACATGATATTGTTCACCTAGGCACTTATATTATTACAGGTAGCCCTTGATTTACAACCATTTATTTAACAATCATTTGATATTACAACTCTCAGACCATAGGGTGCAATTATTATTGAAAACTGTCACTGGAGAAATTTCCAAAGTAGAAATCCCACTCATTCAGCCAATGTCATGGAGGAATTTATGGCAAAAACCTACTTTTGATTTTGACAGGAAATTAGAGCATGGAATGTACCTGTAATTGCGCAGAAGCATAGTGACAAATTGTGGGTTGTATTTGTCATTTGTCTTTTGGTATAATGGGTTGAAGCACATCAGCCGCTCCAGCAAAGAAAGTCCTACAAAAGCAAAAATGCCTCATAAGCATTGAAAAATTAGGACAGTTTGTCCCTCTACACAACTTCCCTTTCTTAGAGCAGTAAAACAATCCAGTCTAGGGGAAAATCCTATGGGCTAATTACTTCTAGAAACAACAAGATGACTATCTCTCTAATCAATATAGAATACTCCTGTAATTTCAGCCAAAGTAACTAAACTCAGCAACACTTTTTCATGTAGCTGTTGATAAAAATAGGATTGCCAACATGATCGCCAACGTCTGATGATGGATATGGCACAAGAAGAGGAAGTAGAGTTCCCTCAGAGCTATTTTTGAAACAGACATCACCAGCACTATGGTTATTCAATGGTAATGTGAGAGTTCAATGGCTTTACATTTCTTTACATTTGTTCTTTACCCTTAAATAGTTATTTTGCACCATATAAATTGTTACATTAAAATATGACTTGCCCAAGCCATGTTGAACTGCCAGAGGAGATCTCAAAATTGGTCCTAGTTGCTTGGGATCTCCTGCCAAAACCAGCTGACCTCCATTGACATTTGTCTTTGGGTCCATCATGTCAAGAATACCTGAAAGAGAGGTGGAAATCTATTTGCTTTGTTAGCATTTTCTTCTCATTTCCCCCCCAAAGTTTGCTAGGTTGCTTACTTAAAATATAAAAACCATTCATATTAAAACATGCACATGGAATAAGATAAAGCAACATTAAAAATGAGAAAACAAGTACTAAATATTAGCACTTATAAAAAGCTAAAAAGAGGAAATAAAAACACTAAGCAAACAAATAGCCTTTCAACATACAACAGAAATATCTACAGTAAGAACTCTTAGGTTTTTTTTAAAAAAAAATTTGCTGCCCATCTTGTTGTGGGGCTACTCTAGGCAGCTTACAATGGTAGAATGCAAAATTATAATGTAAATATAACAATAGGAAAACAAAGAAACTATAAAAATACAACAATATGAATTTAAAAAATGGACTGTGCTGGAATAGGATGCATAAACGGAGAGAGTGGGACCTGTTATTAGTCTAATAGCTACCTCCACTGTGATACTCTCCTATTGGGTCTCCAAGCCAATTGACAGAGCCAGGTCTTCAGGCTCTTACAGAAGGACAGGGGGGTGGGGGTAGACCTTACTCCAAGGCTAGAATGTTCCAAAGGGATGGCACTACAGCAGAGAAGGTTCTTTTCCTAGATCCCGCCAATGGAGTTCTTTGACCGATGGGATTTGTAACAGTCCTCCTCTGTCAGCACAATTGGGAAAGGCCTGTCCTAGCGGCCCATTTCACAAAGTTTCCCTTTGTGGGTTGTTTAACAATAGGCAAAGATTATGCCTATTTCCACATCACAGCTAATAAGTATTAAAACCTAGAACTGATCAGCTCCACAACTGCTAGTTTGTTAGTTGTTGGTAAGAAGCTAACACAATGTGCTAAATGCTGCTAGAAGGCTTTATTATAAACGCAAACTGCCATTCAAAACATTCTGTATCTTCAACAGCAGAACATTCAAATATCTAGAAATGGACTTCCTCAACCTTCCACAGGGACTCCGTCTCTCCAAAACATAGATTACTGGAAATTCTGGAACCACAACTACCAACACTTCTGGCAAATGCCAGACTGGGGAAGTGTAAGTTAGTTGACAAGAACCAGAGCGAAGATATATGACAATATTCTCATCACCTGGTGGATGATATATCATTTCCATTCGGTCCTACTGAAAATGAACATGCTAGTCCTTGTGTAGAAGAGAAAGGGATCAAAAGCTATAGAAAAGTTATTCCTCACCTGAAATGGCAATCAGGCTCTCTGGTTCCACAGCATGGCCACTCTCATCAATAAAGACATGAGAAAAATGTCCCTGAGGGAAATCAGCTGAAGCCAATCTAATTAAAAGAGATATACAAAAATCTTTGAACACATGCAGAAATATTCAGCTTTCCAGGAAAAGCACTATTACCTTAGGTCCATGGTGGTGAACCTATGGCACGCGTATCTAAAGTGGCACGCAGAGCTATCTCTCCGGGAACACCAGCCGTCACCCATTGCTCTTCAGGTTCTGGTGTGCCTCTGGTCTTTGAGCGTGGAGGGGAAACAGGAAGACCAGGTGGCTGGTGCATATGCGCGTGCCGAGAAGCTGAACTTCCGGTTTCCAGCACGCATATGTGCTCCGGCCAGCTGGTCTTCGTGCATGCATGTATGCCAGAAACCAGATCAGGTGGCACGTGCGCACTGGAAACCAGAAACTCAGCTTCCTGGCATGCACATGCACGCCGGGGAGCTGCTTTTCTGGTTTTTGGCACTTCCGTGGGCGCGGGTACATGCTTTTGTTTCGGCACTCAGTGCCAAAAAGGTTTGCCAACACTGCCCTAGGTCCTCTCTTGTGTGAAAATGACCTTTTCCTCTAAATCAATTGAAAACTCTCTGCAGGAAAATAAAACCTTTAAAACTCCTTATTTATCCTTTAAACTAATTTTGGCATCCTTTACCAAGAGACTTTGAGGAAATATTCATTTCTTTCCCACCTCCCATGTGGGCAAGAATTCACAGAACTGTGATCCTGTTCCTCTTGCAGCAATCACACTGAGGAAGGGTAGTCTAATATTACTTATCTGATTAAATTTATATACTGCATCTCTCCCAGGAGTTTGTGAGATTTTCTTGGATGCAATACTCCTCAAGTATTTTTCTCCACAAAAAGAACCCTTTAGAGCAGGGTCCCCAACCACCGGGCCGCGGACCGGTACCGGTCCGTGGATCACTTTGTACCGGGCCACAAAGAAAAAAAAAATGGTGGCTTTCTTCGCCTTCGGTGAATGCTGCTGGGATCAGGGATCAAGGACACAAAGGAGAGAAGGGGAGGGAGAAAGCAACCAAAGCCTGTCCTACTCTCTGGCTCAGTGGCTTCGGTTTCCTCCCACCTCGTTCCTCTCTCAGTCGCTCTCTCGCTCCTCCACCAGCCCAGGAAGAAACTGCTTCAAAGAAGCCGGCAGGGTGGCTTTTCCTGTCGGCGCAGCTCCTTCGAAGCGCCCGTTCACCCCCACCCCGCCGCCAATCAATCCAGGTTCAATCCAGTGCTCCATTCTGCCTGCCTGCCTGCCTTTGTTTCTGATTGTTTCGGAGCAGCTTTGGCTGAGAATAATAACTATTCGCCTCTTTTACTCAGCCGAAGCTGCTCCGAAACAACCAGAAACGAAGGCAGGCAGGCAGGCAGGCAGAACGGAGCACTGGACTGAACCTGGATTGATTGGCGGCGGGGTGGGGGTGAATGGGCGCTTCGGAGGAGCTGCGGCGACAGGAAAAGCCACCCTGCCGGCTTCTTTGAAGCAGTTTCTTCCTGGGCTGGTGGAGGAGCGAGAGAGCGACTGAGAGAGGAATGAGGCAGACACCTGAGGGATGAGGCTGAGGGAGGGAGGGAGACACCTGAGGGATGGGGCTGAGGAAGGCAGGGCCGAGAGGCGGGGCTTCTCAGCCGTCCTGCAGGGACTTGTCCTGAGCCGCGGAGACAGCCGTGGGCCGCCGCCGCCCAGCGCTCAGTTTTGAAGGCGCTCCTCAGCCCGGCGCAGTTCCTGAATCTGCAGCTGAAACCCTCCGTTTTAAATGTCCCAATAGAAGAGAATATCTGTCACTCAGGGTTGCAATGAGGAGGCATTGGCGCTCCCTGAACTTGGTGGTTTGCTGGCGGATGTTTTATTACCCGACTAGGTAACAACATCAGATGTTACTAGTCAAGTAATGAAACGTCTGCAAGCAAACCACCAAACTCAGACTCCTCCCCCCCACCCCCCGGTCCTTGGAAAAGTGTTTCTGCGTGAAACTGGTCCCTGGTACAAAAAAGGTTGGGGACCACTGCTTTAGAGCTGTGTTTCTCAACCCTAGCAATTTTTAAGATGTGTGAACTTCAACTCCCAAAACTCCCTGGTCAGCATGCTGACTGGGGAATTCTGGGAATTGAAATCTATACAACTTCAAGTAGTTGAAGTTGAGAAACATTATTTAAGCTAAGAGATCATGATAGGATTCAAAGTGACTTCTAGTGAAATTCCTGATGTGAATAAATTTGAACTTGTGTCTATTTAGGATGAGTTTAGCATCTTAACCATTACTACCCAAGATCTTAACCTCTTGTAGTACAGTTAAGCAAAAAATTTAATTTTCAGCCTGTCATACCCTTGAAACTTATTATTGATATTAGAATAGCTAATGTTTTACTTTTTGCCTAACATTCCAGTAAGCAAACCAAGAATAGATCCATTACCTCTGTTCATGCCCTTTCCTGGAATTGGGAATACTAACAAAATACTCTTGAATGTTTTGTCTTTGGATCTGTTACCTGTCACATGGCAACCAAGAAAATGTTTGGTATTTCAGCAGATATTTTCAACTATAGTGCCTTAAAAACAGTCTTTCTCTAGAGTTGATGAATTAAAATTCCTAGTATATTGTTGGGAGGTGATGGGATCTGTGCAACATGCTAATCACTTTAATTCTTGTGTTTATTTCAGAGATCAGTGGATCACTTCTTTAAAATTATGGGCTGAGAACAGATGGCTACAAAAAGTTAATTTTCTCCCTTCTTAGCTAATTATAGTTTTCACCTCCTGAAAATGAATGATTTTTTTAAATAAATAAATAAATTTCATTTTCTAATGATACAGAGTAAAATTTTAAATTTTAATTTTTTATAAATGACTAACTTATTCCAGATCACTATGCCGCTCCATAATAAATTTCATAATCTGTTTCCCACATATGGCCTACCTTCCTGCTGTCACCAGTGTAGTGATAATAACCTTGTAGCTTTGCAGTTTTTCCTTTCTTGGAAATACATGGCAACTCTGTGCCTCATCCCAGTTACACACAGGCTAGAAACAAAAGCAGGCATTAAATAATTTAATGAATAAATAAACAAATGAATAAATTAATTAAAAAATAAAGAATGGAAATCTATTCTTTTTAAATTTTGCAATTTTACATGGTAGACATATGAGAACGCTACCAGCTGTTAGCATGGAAAATCTTATTCAGAACAGAATGCCTAGTAGTTTGGAGATAGAAAACTAGAATATACCTTGATATCCTCCGGGATTGTACGGTAATCCCTACTGATAGCATTCATCCTGTAGATGTTCCTAGGATTTACATGTTTCATGAGGTGTTGGCAGAGCAGGTCTGAAGCACTGTTGGAAGGAGCACAAGCAAGCACATGGGCACCCTCAATGCATCGTAGAACCTGAGAAGAACGAAAGCACAAATAGAGGTTTTTAATTGAAAAAAAAAAAGAATACTTTTTATTTATACTTCAAGCCTTGCAGGAAGCTACTTAAGGATGGTGCAAAATAAAACTGGGTCTCCACAAGATTCTTGGTTTAGGAACATATTCATCAAGGTTGTAAGCAAGATTTCTTGGCTCCTCCCCAGTACATCTCACACTTTCATTATAATTAGATCTATGACAAAAGTGTATTCACCTGCTTAATGGCCTCCACCATAGTGACCGTCTTGCCAGTACCGGGAGGCCCAAATATAAGATATGGGGCTGGTCTGGAGGTCCCTGCCACCACTTGACGGACAGCTTCCTTCTGCTCCGCATTGTTGTTCAGATTAGGATTATATAGGCTGGAGGGTACAGGCAGAGAAAAGAAAGAAAATGTAACAAAGCACAGGGCGAAGAGCAAACAACACCTGATTAACCATATTTACAGGTAGGTAAACTATGGTAATTGGGATGCAATTTCCATCACTAAGCAATGAGATTGCAAAGTGCAATGTCATGTGATTTGCATTGCTGATTCACAGCTATGGTTAAGTAAGAATCAAGGGTCATTATACAAGGACCTCCTCAAAATTTCCTCCCAGCTTCGAACAAGCAAAATCATTGGGAAAGCCAGCAGCAAGTTATCAGGCCCAGCACCTTGCAAAGAGGCAGGTTGGCCAGCAGGTAAATGGCTACTGCTGTGCAATCTTAGCCAGCCAAGCCAGAAATGGCTGCTGTCAGGGGAGAAGTGTGAACAAACCGTCTTGAGCTCTACCACCCCCACTTACTTGCTATCCTCCTCCTCCCACTGCTGACAAGTCTTGCCCAGTCTGACCCTTCCGGAAGTAGCTGTTGGCTACCCAAGGCTTTCATCGTGAGGCCATACTCAACCTTTTTGTGAAGCTTCAGAAGGCCCTTATGCAACTTTGAGAAGGTTAAGTGTGAATTTAGGGAGAAGGCCTCATGTGGCAGCTACTAAATGAAGGGCTGAAGCTGGGCTGCCTATGCCTTATCAGCAGATGGTGGAAGTTGGCGAAGGTCAGATGGATGCAGCAGTGTTGGAGTGCAACACAGTGTTGGAGTGTTGGAGTGCAACACAGCCAAAATGGCAAAAATGGGAGGGGGCGGAGTAATTTAACGTCTCCTGCAAGGCCGGCTGCCAAACGCCTGAATTTTTATCACATAGCCACGGGGACACTGCAACAATCATAGCCTCAAGGAACAAGCATATGTGCCATTCATTCAGTGCTGTTGTAACAGCTGTTGAATAAAAGGCTGTTAAGTAAATAACACCCTGCATTGTATTGCAAGTCAGTATCTATTTTTTACAATTATGACAGAGTATCTTAGGTCCCTAAATATCTTTCCAATGGGCCAATGAAGTTTCACTTATGACATGAAAAACGGTGCACAATGGGGCAAAAAACCCTGCTTTTATATTAAAGCCAATAGAATCTGAGCTAGAACCTAAGGGTATCTACGGTTGTATCTTAAGTAACCTAAGAGCATCTTAAGTTGTAAAGGCATGGAAAATACCGACCAATATATGACTGCTTTGTAAAAGGTAGATTCCGTATTGACAAAGAAATAGAGGACAACCAACATCACAATGCATTTGCAGAAATTTATGAAGTAATCTCCACTGAAACGCCATGTACAATATAGCAGTCCAGTAACCACACTTCAAAAAATGTTATGGAACAGAAAAAGACATCTATCCCTTGGCCTGGCTTTGCTAATAGGGTGAATAAATTTCCCTAAAATTGCTGTGATTGGAAAAAGACAGAAGTTACTGGAGCCAGGAGGGAAGAGAAATATATAAGCCCATAAAATTACGAGTAATGCAGGAAAAACAAATTCTTCCTCATTCAAAATAATAGAATCCAGAGTTATCCAATGAAGCTGATATTTAGAATGGATAAAAGTAAATATTTCTGCTTGTTACATTATTCAGCTAAAAACATTGATTCTATAAGTTTCATGATGTACCACAAGTTCTAAAAGGAATTTCACAAGGCTATCAAAGAGATGATCAGCGGGGTGACAACTATTTGTAATTGGTGAGCCATCTGCTACAGAACATAAGTGAAAGCTTTTTCTGAGCTTGCCACAGAAAATTGGCAAATCATTGTGGTAAGAGAAAGCTGGACTATTTGACCAGTTCATTCAGCAGTGTTATCATGTTCCCTTTGCCTATTGGCATTCGCTCCTTTCTTCCTTGTCCCTACTCACCAGAGTTCCTGATCAGGAGACAGGAGGGATTTCTTGTAAGAGAAGCATGGGAAGAGCAGATGAGAGAGTTGACTCTTCTGGGCAAGAATAACAGCCCGATGCTGCAAGCGTAAGGGCAGGCGATTGAAAGTAAATTCCACATCAAACTTCATGTTATTGACAAATTTATTTAGCAATCTAGGAAAAGAAAAGGAGCTGATGGATGATTGAAAAACATGGCATTGCTAACTAAGGCTAAACATGCAACACTCAATCTGCACCATCACTTCGACTCCCAACTTGTTGGTTTTTCCCCCTCTGGTCTGCTTATTTCAACTTCATGACTACCTTTCCCAAATCTGGAGCCTCATGATTTTCTTCCACATCACCACACTTTTCGTTTTTCCTTAACCTCACCCATATTTCAAAATAATATTGACTTAAGGTAATTTGCTTCACAGCTGCACTTCTCAAACTGCTGAGCTCTCTATTCCACACATACGTTCTGTAGACAAGATTTGGTAATCTCTTGTGAAAGCCTTTCCCCAGTTTGCTACCAGAAAGAATTCTGGTGGGAATTCTGAAATTCGAGTTTCAACACAGAGAATACTTTCCCATATGCTTGATTATCAATAATATTAAATTGTTGAGTAACTAAATTGTACAGCAGACATTAAATTTAAAGCAATGAAGATCCCCATAATCTAACATTGTCAATTTCTGAATATTTTTAATTTAATATGCATAATTTAAAATCATACTCTTATTAAATTATACATATTGTGGGAAGCTTGAAAAATGGGGCCACACCTTTATGTGGTGATGCTATACCCTGATCCAATTTCCTGAGCCTTAAAGTATCCCAGGAAACCTGGGTTAGGTCCAGCATTAATATGAAATCACCTGCAATACTTAAGGAATATAAAAACCTGCTTTAACATATTGCACTATATATTAGAATCAAGGAATGGCTGTATTTGTGAAGGTATTGGCGAGTTGCAAACCCAGCAAACAGAACAATACTGATTAACTTAGAAAAGTCAGTGGTGCCTGTGTGATGAACTTGTGCCTTTGAGTATGTGGAAATTGTGCTATTTATGTTCCAAATGTCCTCTGCAAGCAGGATAGCTGCTTAGCTGGCAAGATGTGCTAGGCTAAGATCTTGGGAAATAAGGAAGTTATATTGGTCACATATATAAATATAGTTATATTGTGACATGTAGAATGAAATAATGAATAACTGCCCTGTTGCTATGGCAAGGTGGCAGAATCCTGAAAGTCATGTCTTGGTGGACTTAAAGTATATAAAAGAAGAGTAAAGAATGGGAGGTGTTCGATCAATCTTAAGCCATCCCTTTTGATTACTTGTCTGATTGACCCTCATTGCAATGTGATTAATGTAAGTGCTTTATGTTTATTATGCTCTAAATTCTAATAAACCTCTGAATTCTAAAATGAGACATTTTGTGGTGTGCTGCCTGATCAATTGTTATTAAGTGCAACTATGCACATAATCAGGTTTTCCCCAACACTATTAAATACTATTCCTACCCTTCCCAGTTAAAATGAAAGCCTTACATAACTATCCATGCTGGATTAGGAGCCAATTATCTCAATCTTGTTCTCATTTAAAAAAAAAAAAATCTAACCGTAGGCTGAAGCTGACGTGGTACTCACTTTTCAGAAAATCCCAGCTTGACTTGATCCAACTCCACAGCATGAACATAACCTTTATAGAAGGGAACATTGTATTTTGGTTGCCCTTCAGCAGGGATCACAAACAGATGGTCACCTTTCAACACGGAAGGCCGGTTCTCTGCAACACCAGGCGCCTGGAACAAAGAATCAGATCAATCTAAAGCACAAGCTTTTTAATTCTCATGCCCTGAGTAACAAACCTCTGGAATAGCGAATTGAATATCTTGTTACAGACAGTCAATTGTTTCTGCTGGAGGAAATGAATTTAAATCATATAGTATTTGATATTTGCATGGCAGATGTGCAATTGTGACATTTGGGTGGGCTGGGGCAGGGAATCTTCCTAACCTCTTTCATTACAATTCATGTGCAATTTTGAATTTGGAAGTTATTACATATTAAGAGTGACAGTTTAAATATGGCTAGTGTTTCTCTTTATTGACTATTTTTTTACTTTTTTGCTATCATTTTTTTTCTCCTAGTTTCAACATTCTCTTCCCTCTCTTTCTCTTTCAGCATCTATTTTACCTTTCCTTTCTCCTTATTCTCATCTACATGACCTAAATTTAATTTTCAACAGCTGGTGAGTACAAATTATACTGTATGTGCAATCTGACTTGCTACAATGGCATTAGTTATATGTACAATTGTACAGCTAAATCTATCTGTACAATTTAGTATCCAACGGTCATGCTTCATCCAGACTAATTCACTCATAATGCTTGCAGCCAATTTAAAAGATCTAGCTTGAGTAAGATACTATAAGCACACATACTAAAAAAAGCCCTAAATACAGAAGAAAAACTACTATTGAATGAAAAACAACAACTCTAAGACTCAAGCCCTAGGCTTAAATTTCTTTTGCCCTTATGCTGTAATGGAGCTTCATTGGTTTCTTAAGAGTAAGAAACTGATGAATGGATGCACTGTTATTGTAATAGAGCAATTTGCTCTCAGGTCCTTTGCTTTTGACCTTGATCACTCTAGATCTCAACATTTCCAAGAAGTTTGCTTTTGAGTTACAATTGAAGAATATTTTTATTCATATCAAATGCTTTTAAGTTGTATGTATAGGACTTTATGGAGATGAAAAGGTGAATCTAAATTGTTTGAAAAGTGCTAGCGGTGGCATGTGGAGGAGGCAAAGTGAATGGTGGACATGTTATTCTGCCAAGATTCAGTATACATACAAATAAGTAGGAAATGTATGCACGAGTATTTGTGCAGGCGAGGGAGGTGGGAGGGAGAGAGAATGAGAATATAAGCACATATTTAGGAGACATTACCCCCATTTTGTTTAATTAAATAAACTTTCATATATTTTATATGCAGTTCTATTTCATGGAAATTAACCTCTGGAATAGTAATTGTGAGAGGCTATTCCAAACAAGCAACTTTGATTTTTTATTTTGTGGGAGATTGATCCTGTATTTTTCCCTATTTTTTATTGTTTTTAATGTTCCTATTTTCTTCTTCTTCTTTCTTAAACTCACCCATGGTTTTATAAATATAATCCATTGCCCCTGCGCCATTCTCCCATTCCTACCATATGGTATCTTATTGCAAATCAGGAGCAAGTAAGAATGACAGGAAAACGGCTGAGATTTAGCATCTATGCTCTAACTATTACATTCACAGAATAAGGATTTCTTTCAGGCTCTAGATTATAAGTCACTCACCTTCAGAACAAGGAGTTTCTTATTGTATTTTTCTGTAAACATACTAACATTCTGCATATCATATCGATGGATGTCCACCTCCATTTGGATCTCTTCCAAGTGAAGAAGCAGACAAAATTTCTCAGAATAATTGTCAAATTGCAAGGGGGCTTCCAGACTGCTCCTGTTTGGAAGTATATGGTAGTATTCTATCAAATTTAATCTGCCCACCTAAACAGAAATCACCTTTCTTTCCATCAGAGATGGGAGAGTTTATTATAATATTTGGTAGGGAGGGAGAGACAACACTACAACATATTCCTGCTTTAAAATATCCCCTACTTTATTCAGATGATCCTGGTTACATTGCTTGCTCCTTTCTGCACATGTATTCTTCCTTTCCACGCAGACAGAGAGCTATCTGAACTTCCTAATATTTGAAGAAAGGTAAATATCTGCTACTAGGCCAAGACAAACCAATGCTGCTGTTTAAAAAGAGTTGGTAGCTTGCCCAGCTTAATGTGATTGTTAATATGGGCCGAGGTACAGCATATTATCTTGTTTTATATTTATTTATTAAATTTGTGCATCACATGACTCCCAATGTTTCTGGGTGGTTGGCAAGTAAAACATTAAAAAACAATAAAACAGTACAAATGAAAAAGAATAAAAGATGACACAAACTGGGAAGTAACAAAAAGTGGACCTACGCTACCCAACAGCTTCTTGGTATTCCAAGAGATAGTAAAATGACTTCCAGTCAAAGAGGAAGAAGTCTGAACATACACAACTACCTCTGAGGCTGCTCAGCTACTAGTTTTTAAGTTCTTTAAAGTCTCTTGTTGAACAATGTTGATCCTGATAAACATCTCAACATTTGAAATATCTAAACACCCAGAGGAGTATACAAATATTAACAACAATAAAATCAAAATGAGGTGATGAATATCCATTGTAAAAACTTGTTTGTAAAAAAACTTGTTTTTACAAGGCAGGATACAAATACATAGGGTTTTGGTTTGTTTGTTTTTGGATAAGCAATATTCTTGGCCCACATTTGGAATTTCAAAGCAAGCTATAGATGCTTCACCACATGGCTGTTCAAACTCTGCAAAACATTCTGAGATTGAACCGTGAACCCAATCTGAATTCAGAGCAGCCGCTGTTCTGACCTTACTGGAAGGGCTTTGAATATGAAACAGAGTTTAAAACAGGAGCATTGTGAATTTATAATACTTCCAATGAAATTAGAAATGGTGATGAAGTTGTTTGATTTGTTTCAAAAATTTTACACGTTGCTGTATTTTTATTGTGTCCCATGAAAAGAAGGAAAGCATCTGTATCCACAAAATAACTGCTGTATTTAATGTACCCAAAGGTGAATGGATCTGTTTGTTCCTCCCCACTTTACCTTCCCCCTCTCATCTCTCATTTTTTTAAAACTGAAGGACCCGTTGCCAAGCACAGCATCATTTGCAGCCCATCTCCTTTTTACTTTCTAAAAATATCTTGATTTGCAGCATGCTAACTTTTTCATTTCCATAAGAGCTGGAAGCACTTCAGAGGTCATATAGTCCAAACCCCCTGCTTTCAGCTAAGCATTTCAAGCTTGGTAGTTATCCAGTCTCTGTTTGAGAATCTCCGGCATTTACCTTTTTATCAGCTACATCACACTGGTGGGCTACATTTAACTTGTGATATACTACAGTATCCATATTCCTTTTCTCACTTACTATTATAAAGCCAGACTACTCCCATTCTTCTTCTTTTTATCACGAGAAACAGGAATTTAAATTTCTCTCTGGTAAATCTGTTTCATCCAATATTCAAGCCTAGCTATAACTTTTTCCTTTTAAATGTCTATGGAGATTTTTCTCTTAATTTTTTTTTCATTTCATCATCATGCCACATTGTTACTCACATGCCCTGTTAGCTATCCCTAGGCTGATCTAAACCAGGAAATGTAAGAAAAAATGATATTTAAGAACAAATATTTATGAAGTTACACATTAATTCTGACACTAGTCTTTACTTACAAATCCTATTATCTGTAGCTAAAATAGGCAGGGGTTGGGGAGAGAATAATATATCACAATGAATCTTGGGAGTCATTAATCAGGAAGACACAAATATTTTTTTTTTATGTTTATATACCCCATATTTCATCTGGGAGCTCAAGTCAACAAATATAAACATTCCCCTTTATATTATCAAAACATGAACAATCCTGTGAAAAACAAGGTCAGAATAATAGCAACTGGGCTAAACTCACCATGAGTTCATGGTCAAGCAAGGTTTTTGTCTAGGATTTGCTAGTTGAAATTACATACTTTAATCATTGCATCAATGTGTTGTATTAACATGATGGGTATATCTCTCTTTCTTAGGATAAAGAATGAGTGGAAAGTGAAGAGAATGACAATTTCTTGCTTAGTAGAAACTTACTGTAGATGGGCAATCTTGTCACTGGTGCCATCATTAAGAGTATTACCTTCATTCAAGCATACAATCAAATCCTTCAGATTGCTTGGGTATTTGTACTGATCTAAAGGTTTCTGCTCCAAGTCTATGAACAAATTGCTGAAAACACAAGATAAGCACAAAGTTACATGTTAATCAGAGATGTTCATAACAAGGAAAACAATTCAGGCTTGACATTTCAATTTTTACACCATGTCCTAAACTGGGTCACTAAATTTTGATGACAAAATATGAAAAAACACACAGATATTTTATCCTTTTTCCATCTTTAAACCACCTCCCCCAAATGGGGGGGGGGGAGAGAATCTTTGTGCCCTCTCTGATGTTTGCCATTCTCCCATGTCTCTGGGCATTGGAGATAAAAAATTTAAAAGTTAAAAATGGTTTCCTCTTCAAACATTGTTCATCCTTACCTAAAAATTCAATAAAGACCAACCCACATCACCAGAATATACCATTAGAAGGAAAATGTGAGAAATAGACAAACCACCACTTCAGATATTAGTTTCATCAATAGCTAATATTAATTTGCACATACAATGATTTACATATAAGAATTACCATAATACAAATATGGGGAAAGTTTGGTTTCTCTAAGTGTAAAGAAATTATTATACTTGTAACCTTGCTATTTTAATTTATATAATTTGGATTAACTATATAAATTAGTATAATTAAATCATTCACATTGCATGCAATTAATCCTGGCTGCAAGATAGGACTAAAAAAGCAATCAACACATAACTTTTGGGGGGGAAATCATTTGGTATTTTTTCATATATTGCAGAACATTTTCCTGCACTTATGTTGGTACACATTAGCTATCCTTAGCCAGTTCCTGTAAAGCTGGAATATCAATAACAATTTCAAGTAAGGCTTCGGAGAATGAAAATGAAAAAGATTAAAACTCTCAAGGTTCTATAAATATAACAAACAGTAATTAATAATTTTGGCTGCATCCCATCTAGCTCCAGTCTTTATGAGGGGTCTTTGGGGTCCAGTCTTTTTCTCAAAGTTTTAGCACCTATAAAGTGCTAAATGATGTAGATAGAAAACTAAAATGGTATGGCTAGTCTTGGTATGGCTAATGAAACTGTGGTGGCGCAGTGGATAGATGCAGTATTGTACTGCAGACTATTTCTGCTGCAGCCAGCTGCCTGCAGTTTGGCAAATCAATCCTCACCAGGCTCAAGGTTGACTCAGCCTTCCATCCTTCCAAGATGGGTAAATGAGGACTCAAATTGTTGGGGGCAATATGCTAACTCTGTAAGCCGCTTAGAGAGGGCTGTAAAGCACTCTAAAGTGGTATATAAGTCTAAGTGCTATTGCTATTGTAGGTTAACTGCCTACTGCCAGGAGTTCAATCTTGAAGCGGCTGAGTCAGCATTATATTCTTCTGAGGTCGGTAAAATGAGGACCCAGATTGTTGGTGGCAATATGTTGACACTGTAAACTGCTCAGAGAGAGCTGTAAAGCACTATGAGTTGGTATATGAGTCTAAGTGCTATTGCTATTGCTAGTTCACGTAGCCAACTGCATCAATTGAAAATAACACACAGAAAAAAAAGAAAGAAAATCTCAAAATAAAGGATTGCAAAATAGATGAGCAAAATATAGCTATATGGCAATAGGGGGGGAAAGGAAAAGGACAGAATTCAGAAAAAAGGAGTTGGAGGAAAAATATGATAGAGACAATATGTCCAGAAAAAAACAGAGGAAGAGTAAAGGGAGAAAATTAGCAGAGAATCCTTACGTACTTGTTTGGTGGAAAGCCATCTTCTATAGATCTGAACTGTGGTTTGTGCAGTTTGGCTTGATAAGGCTGATAAGGTTCTGATGGACCAAGTTGTTGTGCTAACTCGGTATTGGCAACAGCCTGCACAAAACGTCCGATGTGGAATTTCCCAGTCTGTTCACTGGTGAAATTGAACTGCATGGTAACATTGTAGAAGCCATAGTCCTGTACCCCACATGTGATTGGGATTTCATGAACTGACCCTAAAGACAAGGAAACCTTTTTACATTTACAAAACAACAAGGAAGAAGGCTCTCTTCTGCATTAATTTTCTAACACTTGATTTGAAATTAAGAATATGGGATTTCCAGAATATACAATCATATTCTCTAAAGTTTGCAACAAGCCCTTTTATATTTATCTAGTTAACTAGTTTAAAGATAAATATGCTTCTCTCTAGTACTGTATCTTTCCATACTTACATTATATCCCAGAATAAAAAAGCTTTTGGTTTTGGTGCAAATAAGAAATTAAACACATCCCAGTTTCCAACTGTACTTCAAAAACCTAATAAATTGGAAAATAAGTGCTTAATTCTTATGTACCTTGACCTGTAGAAACCTTGATAAAAGCTCATATTCTGTTATTTAGAAGTCCATAATGACATTACTCAGTTATGCTGCACAGCTATTAGCAGGCATCTAATTCCATCTCTCATTACTTTCAAAAGATATACCTCATGGAGTTTTGACTGATGCTTATTGACACAATTAATAGTCATAGATACTCCTGGCTACTGTAGTAATTGTGCAGACAACAAATGAACAGTCTCACAATTTCTTACAAGAACTTCTACATTAGTCCTCTAGTCCTCATGGATTTCTTTGATGATTCATGAATTATAGAACAGTTAATGCAAGTGTCATACACAATCATAGACACATTGCTGGGTAGTGTGGTTCAGATTAAGCTAAGATATGAGAATTTATTTACTGTTCTCCATTCAGGTAAAAGAGCATTTCTTTCCAGAAGGATCAAGCATTTTTTGTATAATTTCCTTTTTAATCAATTCTCCCCAAATCTGATATATTGTTGAAAGTGACCCACAGCTTCAAGTGTATGCAAGTTGGTTAGAGAAAATGATTCCAAAATTACATACTGTCTATAGCAGGGGTGTCAAATTCAATTTCATTGAGGGTCGCATCAGGCTTGTGTTTGACCTCGGGAGGGGTGGGAGGGCATGGCCAGGGTGGGCATGGCAAGCTCAACGTCACTTGTGTCAGAGGCACCTGTGGTAGCCCAAGCGCTCTGCCAAGGAAAACAGGCTCCCAAGCTCCATTTTTGGCTGTGATGGCCTTCTGCAACTCTCTGCCAGCGAAAACAGGCTCCGCTTTCAGCTGCAAAGGCCTTCTGCAACCGTCTGCCAGTGAGAGGGAGCTCAGGAGAGTTGCAGGCGGCCCTCACAAACTTTGTTTTCATGGCAGAGACACTGCAGGTGATCCTTCGCCTTTTCCAGGGCAGCTTCGTGGGCCAGATCTAAGCACCTCCCCTGGGCCGGATCCAGCCCCCTGGCCTTGAGTTTGACATTCCTGGTCTATAGCCAATACTTGGAAACAATTTAGATTACCATTATTGAACTTTCTTCTGGAAAAAAAATTTTTTTTTTTGCAGTGCTTAATTGTTCTGCAATTATTTTACAGTATGTGACCCCACCAACTCTTTTAAGAGATCTAGCAATGTTTCAACAAATGTATACATATATTACCTGGTGGCAGTTTCACAGGCAAAGTTTGTTCAGAAACTACAAAAGTGAATTCACAACGTTTTATCAGTCTGTAATTTTCCAGCATAATTTCATTTGTTCCACTGTTCTTCACCTCAATTTTAATAGTCACACACTGCTCTGGAGAAACGTTGAATCGAATTTTACCATTTGGCTTATCATGCTCTGAAATAATTTTCACGCCGTTCTTATTGGACACAAATATTGATCTGGAATAAAGAAACTGAGGAATCAGACTTCCCACGATTTCTAATACCACATGCACACATTCAGGATTCTGTTTAATTGCTCCATAGTGTTTTTTTTACATTTTTAGAAGATATGAATAATACTACAATAGCAACTATAGAACAGAAAATAGAAATATTAAGAAAAATAAATTTCAGAATTTTTTTTTTAAAGTAAAAACCTAACTGTCATCATCTTCAAGGTGACATGGTATTGGCAAGATGATAGGAGCTGTTATATAACAAATTGAAAATTGATATATAACAAAATTCTTATTTAATATATTGTTATTTAACAAATTGTTAAAGTCCTGAAGCTTGCAGATGATACAACAGTGATTGGTCTCATTCGAGACGATGAATCTGCATACAGACTGGAGGTGGAACAACTAGCCTTGTAGTGCAATAGCAACAATCTTGAACTATACGCACTCAAAACCATAAAAATGGTGGTAGATTTTAGGAGAAACCCTCCTATACTACCACCTCTAACAATACTAGACAATACAGTATCAACAGTACAGACCTTCAAGTTTCTAGGTTCTATCATATCTCAAGACTTAAAATGGATATCTAACATCAAAAACCTCATAAAAAAGCACAACAAAGAATGTTCTTTCTGGGCCAACTCAGAAAGCTCAAACTGCCCAAGGAGCTGCTGATTCAGTTCTACAGAGAAATTATTGAGTCTGTTATCTGCACCTCTGTAACTGTCTGGTTTGGCTCTGCAACTAAACAAGATAGACACAGACTTCAATGGATAATTAGAACTGCAGAAAAAACAATTGCTACTAACCTGCCTTCCATTGAGGATACTGCATGAGTCAAAAAGAGGGCTGTGAAAATATCTAAAGACTCCTCACATCCTCAACATAAATTGTTTCAACTGCTTCCCTTAAAATGACGCTATAGTGCACTGCACACCAGAACAATTAGACACAAGGACAGTTTTTTTTCCAAATGCCATCACTCTGCTAAACAACTAATTCCCACAACATGGTCAAACTACTTACTAAAACTGTATTACTATTCTTCTTCTCATCCTTCCTATTATCTATCTGCTCCCACTTATGACTATAATAATCATGTTGCTTGTATCTTTACGATTTATATTGTTTTATTTGTTTCCTAGCATGATTTGATTGCTTATTAGTAACTGAAGACTATCACTTAGTGTTGTACCTTATGATTCTTGATTAATGTTTTTTTCTCTTTTTATGTACACTGAGAGCATATGCACCAAAGACAAATTCCTTGTATGGCCAATCACACTTGACCAATAAAGAATTCTATTCTATTCTATTAAAAAAGGAGATGGGGAAAGCTATAATTTAAGACAACATATAAACATGTGACTTAGAAAAAGAAAAAGGACTTGTTTATTCAGCTCTGGATAAAAGTGGGTCCTCCCGTAAGGATGGAAGAACCCCAAATGCATATTCAAGCAGTAAGTTTCTTAGTTTCACTTGGTTACATAAGCAGGAAACACAGCTCATAATAGATAAGGAAACAAGTTAGAAAAATACTTGTTCACACATCCTGTGGCAAGACGCATCTCAGCTACAAGCTTGAAGTTTTCATTATGATTTTAAAAGGACTTCATGAGTCTGGAGGCTTGCTGCTGTCTCTTATTTTGTCATTTCAACAAAAGAATCTATCTAAAAATCTTTGTTTGTGCCAAGCCAACTCTGGTTCTCTATCTAACAAGAGCAAAGCTACTTAAGAGTCTTATCAAAACTAGATAAAAGTTAATAGATAACATACTCAGGCTGAAATATCAATATATAAATGGTGAATTTCAAATCTGAAATAAAGTATTATGTACCATATCCTTTTAGCATTCTACCCTTTTTTGAATAAATTACATTTGAATGAATATATGATGTCAGAAGGTTGGGTTAATGGATGTGCTTTTTCAGGTGTGTTGAATTACAAATATTAGTGATTCTCTCTAGTAATGCAAGCAAGCTTTGTTTGAATTTAACAAAAAAGGTTCATCAATCCACAAAACACAGTTGTCCAAGTCAATGAAAGACTAAATCTTTCCCAACTTGATGCTTCCAATATTTTGCAAATCTTTTTCCACAATCTAGCTGGCAAGGGATACCAATAAATTTGGAGGGCATTGTGATAGGGAAGGTCGGCATAGAGGCTGGGATTAGAATATTTTTTGCCAAAAAGATAAAAAGAGCTTTTTCATGTAGACTTTAAGGGGCAGGGGGAAAAAAAAGCCAGTAAGCCTTATCACAGCTCTTAATACGAACAATTCACAAGCCTTCCCAAATCTGTTATTTTGATCTTATACCATTCTCATGGCTGCACTTTGTAATCTACAAAGTGGAGATGAGACTCAGTGAGGTGAATTATGCTACTCACTTGTAGTTATGATTTTTTAAATGGCCACCAGTATTCACATATGAGTTTGCTTTTGTTTTTCAAAAGAAGTCTTCAGCAGTATCTACTATAAGATGAGTGGTGCAGGAAGTATACTGTGTGATATCCAGAGGTATGACTCCTCCTTTAACAAAATTTAAAGAGATCCTGTAATAAAATGATTCATCTATATAAGCTATGGGGGGGAGGTGGATAGATTGTGTGATTTCACAGATGACTTCAACTATTTATAATCAACTCATTTGCATCATGGTTTCCATCTATAATAAATCTCATATATATGGGAGACAAAACAGCTTACCAATAAGATGTGGGCATGCATGTTGTCAATCGAGCATAGAAGACAATACCAATCCACCAAAAGAGACATCTTGAATAATTTTTCTTGAGTAATTATGTAATAATGCTTAATGAGTGTCTAAAGACTAGACCAAAAAGCTGCTTTGTATGGTACAGAAGCAGCATCACATCTTCATGATGCTGTAGATGTTGAAATTGTTCTTACAAAATACCCAAGGGAATCTTACAGTACAAGCTAATTGTGCTAGACGGTATTATTATCCAGTTACCAAACTCTTGGGCTGAGACCAGCAAACATAATAGAATAGAATAATTTTTATAGTCAATGCAGACCTCCAGAGCCAAAGTCCATCAAATATATGTAGATCAATTTGAATGAAAAGGATAACAATGTTTAAAAGGTAGTTTACATAATGGATTGATTCACATGGAATCACCCTACTAAGAAAATACGTCACAGCATCATCTTCAGTAAGGAGAAGGAAAGAAGTGGTAGTGGCAGCAGTTTGACTTGCTTATTCTCCTGGCTGATGTTATTGACACAAAGAATGCCACTTCTGAAGAACAAAATGTGTAAATCATTCATTGCTAGAAATTCAAAAGATATTGAAAGGAGACTAAATATAACAATGGGCAAACTGTACAGTAGTAAAGTTGTTACTAGAGGAAAAAGATTCAAAAACTGACATAAGACATTATTTTGTAAAGGTTTAGGTACCTCTGCACAAATTGTATGTTTCAATTAATTTGTAAGGGAACCATTTCCAAAATAGTTTCTGTTCACTTAGGAATTCGTTGATGTATACAATTGAAATAGATATACATTTTTGCATGCAATTAAATTTATGTACAACTGTTATTCCAAACATTTGGATTGCAAAATATGTACAGTAAAACTATTTGGCTATCTAGAATTTCCTAAATTTGAATATATAGTGCTCTATGTAGGTAATTGAGATGTGCAGTTATTTGAAAATAGAAAAGATGCCTTGAAAGAAACAGAAGCATGTTTCCAACACTTGTCAAGCTCCTTCAGCCACATCTTTTCCTGAACTGTCATGGTAGGCTCACAGTCCCAGCAAAATGTACATTGCAATTAAGGATGTCCAACAGGTTCATAGTTATGATACAAATCTCTGCAGCAATGGGGGACTTCTTAAAATCATCCAGTGTGGTTTACTGGACATACCTGAGAAACTTCCTATACCATTTATTGGCAATACTGCTTGATCTATTGCCTGGTCGGTTGATATTATTGTTTTCTTCTCTGTCATAGAACTAACTCAATCTCTTTATGTATAAATGAGGAGCGGTTAAGATACTGGGCTCAGGTTCAAGACCTGAGCACCATGCGACAGGGTGAGAGCTTGTCCTCACCCCACTCTTGCCAACCAGCAGTTTGAAAGCATGCAAATGCAAATAGATGAATAGACAGCACTTCAGTGGAAAGGTAACAATATTCCATGAGGTGATGCTGGCCACATGACTGCAGAAATGGCTTCAGATAGCACTGACTCAATGACCTTGAAATGGAGATGAGCACCACCCCCTATAATCGGCAATAACTAGCCAAATAATAGGGACACTGTTAGGAATAATAGTCACTTAACAGTTGGGTTGGCAATATATAAACCAGGATAGTCATTTAATACTGTATCTTTAAGAGAATGCTGTAATTGTGATTGGCTGAGGTTCCTCCAACGGCCATAAGATGGAGCCAGAAACCTGGTTTCTTTCTCCTTGCATTTCCTGTTTTTGCCGTAAATCATCGTTCTACTTGGATTCCTGAGTCTTGCAACTGTTAGCAAACTCCATTTACCGAACTCTGTTTATGATACTTGACTTCGTTTTTGGATTATCCCTGGACTGATACTTACTGCTTTAACCGTATATGATTTGGACTGTTTGTTGGACTTTGTTGACCCGTTTACTGGAAGTAAAACCTACATTTTACTATTCAGTGTATCTGTATGCTGGTCGTGTGTTATTCAACATCATTCTAATCCCCTAATGGGGAATACCTCAACAGATACCTTTACTTTTTTTTTTAATCCATAAATGGGCTTAAGGCAATAAAGTAAAGGGATATCAGCTGAAGCACAGGTATATATATATCAGGACAAATCAAACTGAACACAAACCAAAAAGACTTTCTCTGCGACAGAAAAATCAACAAAGAATGCTTACTTCCATACTTTCATAGTGTCCACACAAAACAGACTCTTTCTGTTTTTCTGTATAAAACTACATTTCCCCTACAAAACATCTAGTAGTATAAGATGGGGTGGACCAGGATAGTTGATGGCTCATTGTGAACAATTTCCATCATTCTTTTAGACAAAATTGAGTGAATCTATTATCATGATATTGTGATTTTCAGAAACAAATTGGAAAAAAAAGGGAGACCTACTATGATTATATGAAGATGGGGTAGATTTCCATAAACATCTTATCTGGTATAGGTTCCAAGAAAGATTCTGCAAAGATGCAAAATCCATGCATGTGATATACAAAGATCATGACGATCAATCCTCCAATTAAAAATAGAGGTTTTTAAAATATATGGAAGATACATGAATGTTCCTTCCAAAGCAGAGGTGCAGTGAGGCTCAAAAACCTAGTCTGGACATTTAATGAACAGCAAGATTTAGGATGGATTTAGCATCTTGGCCTTTAAAAATGAAGAGAAAAATCCGGACAAAATCAAATTATGCTATTTTCTTGGCTTAATAGAGGGGTTTTTTCCTTGCATTTACAAGAGTTGGAACTTTTTTTTTCTTAAATGAAGCTTAGAATTCACAATTGTTTCCTGGGGCAACGGAGCGGAGCTCCTGAGAAAACGGAGCCAAGGCTCAAACTTTTCATTTACAACATGGGACCTAGAGAATACATGGAAAATTAAGTCCCCTTAAGCTTTGCTCCCATACAATTACACCATCCAACTTTGCATTACATACCTGCGCTTAACCCGTGCTCCAGGGGGAAGTGGATTATTGAATGTGTTTTCATCTGGGGTAGAATGGTCTCCAGCTCCGGTATCATCTTTTGGTTTCCAATATTGATCAATAAGTTTTAGTTTCTTCTTCCCCTATAGAGAAGCAAAAAAGAAATACCATAAAAAAAGGCTTCCAACAAATTGTAAAGTATTGGAAAAATTTATTACAGAAAGCAGTTCACCCTTATTCTTATTCTCCACTTATTCTGAAACAATTAACACTGGTCAAATTCAAAGTGAATTTCACCACCTGGAAATATTTTCGGTAAAATATGATTCTAAATTAGACAAGAATTTTAAAAGTTTTGCTATGCTCTCTTGTTTAAAAATAAATAAATAAAATGAGGAAACAGGGCTAGTTCAGACTCTATGCCAAGGATCTTCAAGCTTGGCAAGTTTAAGACTTGTGGACTTCAACTCCTAGAATTCCTGTGCTAACAATGACTGGAGAAGGAATTCTGGGAGTTGAAGTCCACAAGTCTTAAAACTGTCAAGTTTGAAGATCCCTGCTCTATGCCATGAAACTGTAAAGTCCTATGTTATTCTTTCTTTTTATTTTGTCCAAGATAAACCCCACCATGTGAATCTTATCCCTTGATCCTAAGCACTTTTTTTGACACCTCAGAATTCTATTTCAGTAGTACTTAGATGAATACCTCAGGTATTCCTCAAATTATGATGACATTTGGGATTGGAATTGTAAGACTATAAGTGATGTGGTCATAAAATATGCTATCACATGAATGTGTTGCTTAGTGACAATAGTTATGATTGCCATTGTTAGGTAAGGAGTGCAAGTGCAAGTGACTGTGATTTCTGATTTCCTGACAGCTTCTCCAATGACTTTGTGTATGGGAAGCTGTTAGGGAATGCCGGAAATTGTGATCATATGACCATGGCTCCCTGTGTTATTGTAATCTTGAGCTGGGCACCTGGATCTCAATCATGTAACCATGGGGGTGCTATAATAACAAGAATTACAAGGATGGTCATAAGTCCCCCTCATTCAGTGCTGTTGCAAGTTTCCTGAAAGCGTGGTTGTAACTTTGAGACTTGAGTACTACCTATAATGACCAGTTAAAATTTGTATTAGTCACCAGTATAAATAAGTCACAAAAAGACTACAAATCAATAAGCCAGTTTTGTTTCTTTCCATGTTGACCTTACATCTAGAGAGCCTTATTTTAATGCCTTGGAATCCATCAGGACCCATTAAGCCCAATTGTTCAACATCAACTATCAAAGAATGAAGTAGACAATCAAGTGCACCTTCTTACCTGAAAAAAACGCACATGATCCCCATAGATTAAAGCACGGTTTGATTTTGCCAGCGCATACAGCACATTGGAGAAGTTGGGTCTTTTTATATTATCTCTGTCAAACAATAGAATATAACTTTTATTCAACTATTAAACATATATATTGATTACACACACACACACACATTAAAAAATCTGTTTTCACACTTGTGGTGCTCTGTGTACTCCTCAATCTCCTTTACTGTGGAGAGGAAGATCAGAAATCATTTCTTAACCAAAACAGTCCACCACTCTTAAGATACAGAACAGAAATATAACCAAACAGGCAATTCTATTTGTTTGCTCTTGCCAAATATATACCAATCAATCACAGAAAACATCAGAACAATAAATGAGAGATATAGAGTAGAATATAAAATAATATAAAGCTGTATTTCCTCCAGAGCTAGCACACTGCTTATGAATAAAATAAATTTAAGAGGCTCAAAGATGCAGTGGATCCTAAAAGCTAAAATTACTGTCATTTAGAATTGCAGGAACAGCACCGCATGGGAAGAAGTAAGTTAAAACTCAACATAGGTCTATTCAAATGTATCATGTACATCTTATGCGTGTGCTTATGTATTTCCTTGGCTACATACAAACACATTTAAAGGACATATATATTCATACATAAGTGAAGTTTAATATTAGACTCATAACAAATCTACTGAATTATTGCATGGATTAATTATACATAAATCTGCCAGTTACTTGAACTATTAAATATATTATGTGACATAGCAAGTACTAATTGATACAAAATGTTAATCCTGATTTACATAAAGAATATGGATCAATATGAAGAATATTGTTTGATAAATATTGCTTTGGATGGATGCAACATGGATACAAGGCTTTCCCTGATTTTTTGTAAATTCAAAATTTGGAAAGACAAATTTAAAAGTAAATGGAAACAGAAAAAACTCTTAAATGTAATTTAAGTAACACTGAGTCACCTAGTATGAAAGATGGATAGTATAGAATTTTAATAAATAAATAATTGCTATTAATGTTATACTATATTTAACATCACAATTCAATGGTAGTCTTTTAGAGGGATGTAGCCAAGGAGACTTTGCCAACCTTGATATTGCTTGATATACTGTATATCAGTACTGTAATAGAGAAACTATGTAAATTCAACCAGAATACTTGTGGTTGAATTCTACCGACAAATATTTTCTATTTAATTGTGAGGCCTATTTCACTGACATATTGTAATCTGTCATTGTCTTTGTGATATCAAATACTTCATACATTCGTAAGTATAAAATCCAAGGTTCAGAGGTAGCAGTTTAGGAACAGGTGGCCAAGGTTTGAAGTGAGTTAGTAATAACAAGAATATATTGCTGTGATAAATATTTCAAAGGAGTGTGTACACCTGCACAAGCACACAGACATATACACACACACACACACAGAGGGGGGAAGAGAGAGGGGGGGAGAGAAAAGAGTGTTTTTGAGCAGATCAGTTATCTTGAATTTCTAGCTCCCTTTTCTCAGGGGTTTTGTTATTATTCTTGGAATAATATAATAATAATATTTTTCAGGATTTTCCAAAATTAAGTTTCAAACCATTCTTTCTGCCATGGCACAAGTAAAAAGCTGTTTTCTGTATTTACAGAACTGAGGAAGGGCAAGCACTTTTTCTTAACAGGAAGAAAAATGCTAGCCTCCTTTCAAATGTGGCTCCAATAAGAATCGCCCATCTTATTTTTTTTAAATAAAACTCCACCCAGGTATCATTTTTATAGATGCATTTAACATGAGACAGAAACCTGGATTACTAAATTACAAAACCCAAAGTAAGAGCTTTACAATTCGAGTTTCCTTTTGCTGTATCTCAGATTTAACTGTAGTTTAAATTTCTGTTTCAACATTTTACTTGACCTATTATAAAAAAAATACATATCCCATTAAAATCTCATTTGCCACATAAACGTCAAACTTCCATCGTATCCAAAAATATTTGAACTGATACAGTTCAAGGTAGAAAACTTGATACTCTCCCCACTTCAGGATCTTTCCAATCTTAGAAGTGCACAAATTTCTTATGTACTTATGTTTCACTTTCTATTCTCCTGCAGTAGATTTTATACTGCAAATGACTCATTGGCTGTACTGTATTTGTTCCATTATTTCAATGTTTCTATTTACTGACTTCTGTTTGTAAAGTTGTGTTCATAATAATCAAGCCTGTTTGTAACAAAATGTTTAATATTTTAAAATCTTTATTTTTTAAAAAATAGCTATGTTACTATTAATGAACCCTGTGTTGAAAGGCTGTCAAAATGCCTCTCTTCCGAGGATTTGATTTTCCCGCTGGGAGAGCTCCGGCGCAAGGATACGGACAACTGCTTGAAAGCCGGATCTTTTTTATTTTTCAGGAAGGCGAGAGATAGCGAGGAGGCTGCGTTCCTGGGCTAGCTACCTTCGTATGGTAAGTCCCTTGATTTTTATACTCTTTTTCTCCTTTTGTGTGTGAGTGCTTGTATTTGTATTTAATGTTTCAAATCCTGTCAGGGTTTGTCTTTATTTCTGCCAGAGGGTAAACTCCGCGGGGTGCGGAAGGCAAACTTTGCGGGGTAGATTGATTGTATTATCGGCTTCGTTCTAATCTCTTTTAGTTTTATAATTGTTTCTTATATTTGCTTTGTGGCAATCTCCTATCTGTCTCCTTTATAATCTATATATGTTTTTGTGTCTTTTGTCTGTTTTGCGGATTTGGCATGTCTCGTGTTTGTAAGGGTTTTCTTTTCTTATTTCTCTAGTTTTCTTAATTATTTGGGCTTTTGTCTAAAAGGCTTCTTTAATACCTTTTATTTGATTCCTTTTCCTATGCAAGTTTGTTTTATGGCTGGCCTGATGTTCCCTTTGGGCTTTTCCTGCTTGAGTGGCACCACTGTCCTTGTGAAGTTCCCTTTCCACACCTGTAAATATTTGTTAGTGGCTGTAAATTAATTTAAGAGAAACTGATTGAACTATTGTTTTAGGGTGTCAGAGATTGTTCTGTGGTTAAGAATATCTATCACTAGACATAAAAAAAATGGGAAATTAGAGACATCCTTACTGGCCTATCAAAGAAACAGATTCTTAGCCCATCATACAACATGGAGAAAAGAAAGTCAAAAGCTTCAAGAATACCTTGTTAATAAATTCAGCTATAGAGGTCTAGAGGAGTGTATTCCAATATCAATTTTTAAGATTTTGAATGCTGACTACTAATTCCTGACTTTAAATGTCATTAATGTAAGGGCATATGAATCTTGCTTCCTCGATTATGGTCTGCAGTTAAGGAACTTGATACGCTATCCATTTTGTTCAATAGTAGATGAGAGTGCATGTGTTGCATAGCTGGAAAAAATCTCGTCCAAGTCCAAATAACGATGAAAAATATTTTGACAACCTAGGACCGAGACCATTTAGGTGAAAATTATCAAGAAAAATGTTAACAAATGTAAATCTTGGGGGAGATTTGGGACATATGTCTCTGTGCCTGGGGGCACACACCTTCAGTGAGTCTTGACTTGTGACTGCTTGGACTAGAACCAGTAGCTTTTTCTGGTGAGATTTTTGGAAATAGTTTGTTATTGAGAAACTGAAGGACTGACCAAGATACAAAGCATTAAAGGCATACCACCAAATGGGGGAGTTTACCTTAGCAATGCAATCACAAGCAGCCTACAGGAAGCCTATAACTTACAGTCTTCTGATTTCTGATCAGTACCTTTCATTCAGGGTACTACAGCAAACAGGTTCCTACTTCATTAGTGGAATACATAAAACAGCCCTCCTATTCTCTTTCCCATTTGTTTGGGTGTGACTAGGATCAAACCCTGTTTAAAATCTTTGCTTAATTCCTTCAGACCCAAATTATACTTCCCTCTACATCCCAGACAAACTTATCTGAACCAAAGAACAGAAGCCTCATCAATCACAAGCGGACAAAACAAGGAAATTGCAACCTAAAAATCCCAATTCTCAATGCTTCATCAACTGATGACTTCAACCTTTAACTTCTTGAATCTTCAGCTCTGCTATCCTCTTCAAAGACTCATTTTGCCTAACAATGTAACTCACCCACTTATACAAACAAAGACCTCAGCTAGCTTCCCCAAACTGGCCAACCAATCAGATCACCAGGATTTCGGACCTTGTAACCCTCAAGGAAAGTTGGATGTGATAGTGAGACTTCTGACATTCTAGGAATCTTGTTTTTTATCTTGTTCTTTTTTAAAAGTCTTTAAGACTTAAATCTGAATGCTGTAACAGTATATATAGTTCAGGAACATTTGAGACCAGTTTGGGTTACTAAATCTCGCTGAAGGATTTTTACCTCTATACCAATACTGAAAACCTTGTGGGGAAATGCATAGCAAGTTACAAAGCCAGGCAGAAATCCAAGTTATGCAGATGAGATAAGCTGAGAGTTGGGGACTGGCCTGAGAACAGCAGTATAAATGGCAGAATCTCTTCCTGTTACTGGTTCTCAAAAAAAATTCCCTACCTTCCAGAACAGCAGGGAAAGCTTTTTCAAGGGTTTTAAATTATTCCTCTTGAAAAACTTTTTGCAGTTTGTCATGTCAACTAATTTTACAAATCAAGATTGTTCAATTGCCATTGTTTTTACTCTGCTTTGCTCTTTGTGAAGGGACATCTTTGAACTAGTTTGATGAAGGTGCATGGATTTCTTTCCTTACAATTGAAATGGGAATGGGAAAATAAATAAGATTGAAACCAGCCTTTTAATTAGAGCCCCCATCAAATAAATAAGTTGAAAGAGCACCAAGGCCTCCCCAGAGCCTGCTCATAAGTTACTTAAGATATGAAAATTACATGTGGTTTATTCACTAAAAATGGAAACAGGCAGATGGTCTCAACTCAACCGTAGAACATACAGAACCAGAAACAACACATCTCAAACCAGGTCTAATTCTTTGCGAATAAGTTCTATCTAGGTGAATTGCCCAAATTTAATAATCTATTGTGCATAGAATCCTATACTTGTCTTTTTGTAACATCAAACCCATCTACTTTAACGGAAGTTAGTTAAGGATAAATGAGGCTTCTTGGCCTTGGATTATTTAAAAAGAAACTAAAAAGGCAGGCAAAATGGCTGTAAGCGTAAGTCATGCAGAAGGAGAGATATACTAGCCAAGACTACCCAAAGTGGCTTATCCAATGGCTAGTTCCAATGGAAACCATTTCGAAATCCAGTTTATTCATTTTAAACCAAACAGAATTAGGCTTCGCAAAGTCTGAATTAATGTCATTCAGATCTTCTGCAAAACCAAGGCTTTCTTTAACTCTCCTTCCGTATTCTTTCCTCCCGAAATCTTCGTCACTTCGTTCAAGGTTTCCTGCCTACCAAAAATGTTTTAGCATTTCATATTGAATGGAAAGCTGTGAGTTCCCCGTCTACAGCAATCGAAGTCTTCCGCCCCTCCTCGCCTCATTTCGAGACGGCGCCCAGAGCCCACCGGATGCAGCGCCGGAATTAAAGGGCGCCGGCACCCCGCGAAGTTCATGCCTTGGAGCTGTTGAGGTTTTACTGTTAAGGAGAAAACAGTTTAAGTGAGGAAAACGGGACCCGCTCCCACGAAAAAGCTCGTGGCCACGTCAACAGGGCTCTGCAGACCCGTTTTGCAAGCGTTTCATCACCTACCGATTTCGGAACTCCTGATTGTACAGAGCCTTCAAGGCAATCTTGCTGTTCAATGTCTGGTTGCCAGAATCCTGCAGGAACTGTAAAAACTGCTCTCCGATCTCCCTCATTTGCCTAAGGGTAAATTTGGGCATGGTGATCCGTTTCGCGGGAGCTGCTTCGCTTTCCCTCGCTCACTCATAAGAAGCGGCGCCTGCAATTTGGTCTCGCTTCCTCTCGCCTGGGGAAGTATCCAAGTGGCGATCCTGAGCTCCTCCTCTTGTAAGCTAAAACTTGAAAGAGGAAGAAACGAAACTGAAACCGCACCGGTCCCTCTGCCAATCCCAGCGTTTTCTCATGAGCTCCGCTCCGTTGCCCCAGGAAACAAGATACGAAAGCTGAGAAAGGACATTTTATCATCTGTTTTCCTGCTCGTTTGAAGTTTCCGAAAATCAGGTACTTTTCCGTAAATACGAAAAGTTATAAAGGTCACACATAAAATGAAGTCTCATCATTATCACAGACGCTTCTAGAATTATTTCGTTAGTCACATAGAAACCTGGGTCAATTGTTTTTATGATCTTTTTATTACATCGAGGAGTGAATTAGGAATTTACGCCTTAGAGGCATCGAATTATTTCATTAATTTGTACCCCACCCTTATTTTTACAAATGACTCAAGGCATTTGTAATTGTAGCCCACTTTCCTCCTCCTATTCTGTCCACAAGAGCCACCCTGTGAGGCGAGTGGGGCTGATACTGACTGGCCTGGCTTTCATGGCTAAGGTGGGACTAGATTTACTGCATCCGGAGAAACTGGTCTTTATTGCATTACTTACCAACCTATAAGCCCAATATGCATCATTGCAATATATGGGGTAGAAAGTTAGCACCCACCCCTCTCCTAGAAGAATGAAATTTAAGCAGATTAAACAGATAATCAGAGTCGGAAGGGATCTTGTTAGGTCATCTAGTCCAACCCCCTGCCCAAGCAGGAGACCCTACACCATTTCTGACAGATGGGAGTCCAATCTCTTCTTGAAAGTCTCAAGTGATGATGCTCCCACTGTTGCAGCAATCTTGGTCACCAGTTCAGGACACAAGACCACGAAGGGTTGGAGAAACAGGTTTATTTGCACAAAGGTTCAGAGCATTAACATGTCAAATTCTGAACCCCGGGTCACTCCCAAGGTGTGACTTTTATTCAGCTTATAACCCTGGACTTGCCTAGGGTGTTACTGTTAACTCGGTATACCATGACAGAAAAGGAGAAGTTTTTATATGGCTCTCTTGCTACATTTTCCATATATGGTATTATCTTACACCATCTGTTACTTCTGGTAGCCACCTCTTGCAATACATTACAGAAAATATCTAGTACATAGGTCGCGTTACATTCATAGGTCAGCTTACATGTTACATTCAGCAAGTCCCTGTATTTTCTAAAGCTTGCAACATATAAGTCAAATAACTTCTGCTAATAGTATTAATACCTTTTGGTATTTTCTCACACTGCTTCACCACAACTTCCAAGGGCAAGCTGTTTCATTGGTTGATTGTTCTCACTGTCAGAAGGTTTCTCCTTATTTCCAGTTAAATCTCTCCTTGTTCAGTTTCCATCCATTATTCTTTGTCTGGCTTTCGGGTGCTTTAGAAAATAGCTTCACTCCTTCTTCTCTGTGGCAGCCCCTCAAATATTGGATCACTGCTATCATGTCTCCCCTGGTCCTTCTCTTCACTAGACTAGCCATGCCCAGTTCCTGTAACCTTTTTTCATATGTTTTAGTCTCCATTCCCCTAATCATCCTGGTTGCTCTTCTCTGTACTTTTAGTCTCAACATCTTTTTTTATAGTGTGGTGACCAAAACTGAATGTAGTACTCTAGGTGTGGTCTTACTAAGGCTTTATAGAGTGGTATTAGTACCTCACTTGATCTTGATTGTATCCCTCTGTTAATGCAATTTAGGATTGCATTAGCTTTTTTGACTGCTGCTACATACTGCTGGCTCATATTTAGCTGGTTGTCCACTAAGACTCCAAGATCCCTCTCACAATTACTGCTATTGAGCCTGGTTTCACCCAGTCTATATGACTGGAAATATTTCAGGAAATATTAAAAAGGTAGAATATTATCTCTCCCTGGATGAGAAAAGGAGAAATATGCTTTTGGAAAGCAGCCCCCACCTTTGTTAATAGCCCCAGAAAGACTGGGTCATCCTAGCTAGGGTCATCCTAGCTACAAGACAAAAGGCTCTAGAGGGTGATAAGATTAGCCCTCTCTCAAGATCGAAACCAAGACAAAGCCATTAAGACATAATGGGAATTCCCCAACACCCTTTCAGAACACAACCCTCTTCATTACATAATCACTCAGCAAGAGTCAATCCAGCCTAGAGTGCAGACAGCCTACAAATTTAGCTAAGACCCCTGCTTCTTGGGAGTCTGACAAACAATAGGATACATTTGTGCCACAGGAACAGGAAGCAAGTTCAAAGTTCAAGAGAGGGTATCTCTCTGTGTCTCTGTCTCTCTCTGCCTCCCTCCCTCCCTCATTCTCTCCCATGTGCTCGATTGCCCAGGACCTCAAACCATGTGGTCCTTTCCACAATTAAACTGTCTTTCCAAAGATATTTCCAATGTCTTTCTCCCCACTTAGAACTGAACTGAGATGGACATTTCTTCCAACAATATTGATCTATTGCACAAAATGCACTTTGCAGATTAAAAATGGTGTTGTGGAAAAATCCCAATGAGAGACAAAAGACAGCAACACAAACAATATTTCTTAGTTTAAGCTTCAGAGGTTTATTACACGAGCAATTTGGAACATGGACAGCCATCATAGTATCACAACATTACTTACATTAATCACCCATTGTAATGAGGCCCAATGACATAGCAGGTCCAGCATGGACAGCTATAGGCCAATGGCCCTGAGCTGATTTGAGCTCTATCTTTTATACCCTTTTCTAATGGCCACACCCAGATGGGCACTTTCTTGCAACATTTCATAAATCATTTCCATACGATAGGCTGCTACAACAAAACAACTTTTTAAAAGGATTTTAAAATGGTCCTATATAATGCCTTTCTAATTTTGATTCCTAAATTGAACTTTTATACTTGTTTAGCTACTTGTGCATATCCTTCCTTTGATTAAGATGATTTTGCTTTCATTTCCTGAACTAGCAGCTGTCTTATGTATATTTTGTTATATAATTTGCATAATGAAAGTTTAGGTATAATTTGAGTTATATGGTTTGGATAATGAAACATCTGCAAGAAAACAACCAACCTCAGAGAGTGCCAAGGACCCTCAAACAAATATACACGAAGTGCTTATCAGCACTTCTCTGCAACCAAATGTCCTTCCATTGTGAACCAGACATTCCATAAAACTGATATGATTAACTACGGCATTTACTTTTGCTACTAAACCACAACATTCTGTTTTAAAGTGAGATCAGTCTTGTGTTGCATCTTTCTATGTCCACAATAAATTAATCAGAGTGTTCAGTCTTTGCATTTTTAATTTAACAGTTTTCAGGCAATATTTCTGCTAATGCCTGGGTGGCTCTGTTGTCATTATTAAAAATCCATAACATTAATATCTATTCCTTCTTACATAAGAGTTTGTATCCACAAATAATTAACTTTGGATGTAACTTGTAAGGAGATAAACTGATTTCAAGCAAAGTTTTACAATTTTGTGTTAGCAGGGATCTAGCTAATTATAATACAGGCCAAGTAGTTTGGTTTTCATTGCTTCTTAATAGGATAGAAATACCAAAATAGTTTTAAGTATTGGAGTATTCTATTAAGTACTGAAGGAGAGAGATATATCAGCAGCAGACAGGCAAAGCTCTACCAGACTACAGCTCCTTTTGGTCCTCAGGTTATGAACCTAGTGTAGCTCATGCATGTCCAGGTATACACTAGGGGCATATTGCATAATGTCTGTGGAATTGATAGCTTGGGAATCCCTAGGCTGGATGAATAGTACCTAGAATGGCTGTAAAAGCAGTTTGCATGCACAAATGCTACTAATTTCACTGATATCCGTTTCCAAGTATTTTGATGCTATTGTTTTAAGGCATAGAATTGTCCATACATGTATTTTATATGACAAGCAACCCAATAGACTTGCTGTTGGACTGTTGATGATAGCAGAAATGTATTGCCAATGTTGGAACAACCTTGAAACATTCTGCTACATTTGTGGGGAGTACACACTTAAGCCTCAAAGACACTGCACAGTTAAGAAAGTGTACAAACTGTACTTTGATTGTAAGATTGATGATGAAGAGAAGGCCTGGGCTTCACACATTTGTAGTGCAAGATGTGCTACTGGCCTTGGACCTTGGCTTAGAGGAACTCAAAAATCAATACCATTTTCTGTCTCAATGATATAGCAAGAACAGAATGATCACATCATGCGACTAATATTGCTGGTTTCTCTTCTAAAAATAAGAATTCAATTAAATACCCAATCTCTCTTCAGCCATGAGATCAGTGATGCCACATGATGACAATCCGCTAGTACCAAAACTACGAGAGAAATGGACTTAGATAAAACAGACGAATATGCTGCAATATGCCAGCCAGACATGGACAGTGACAATGATCTGGATTTTGAACTATGTATCTCTGGTAAGCCTTATCTCATAACACAGTCAGAATTAAATAATCTGGTCAGGGACTAGGTTTATCAAAATCAAAAGAAGGATGGTGTTTTCTGTCATGAGGTATGAACATTTCTGTCTTTCAAAGCCAAGATGATTTAACCAGTTTCTTTGCATAGATTGACAGCTTGTTTTCTCGGCTGACATTGATGGTTTATTCACAACTTTGGCTTGTGAGCATGAGCCACTGGAATGGTGTCTTTTCATTAGTGTTAAGCCTCAAGGCTACCTTGTTACACAACAGCAATGTATGCTGCACAAATGAAAGAAACACACAAATACATGGAACTGTGGTTAAAGCACATCCAGTGCATCAATGAACCATTTGTTGACTTGACAAAGATATTTTTATCTCTACTTCACCTCATAATACAGTTGATAAAAAAATTGTGAAAGTGATAAATGAGAAGTGAAGGATTTTATTAGAAACAGATATAAAAAAAAACCCATGCAGTGTTTTAATAGCAATAGATAAGCTCAGATTTAGACTCAAATCCAACCCTGTGTTCATTGCTACAATCCAAATTAATCTGCCATCTCTCTCTGACTTGCTGTGTTGCGTTCTCTATA